GACAGGAAGGAACCTTAAGGCGGTGTGATGTGAATATCTGTTGGTAAACATTGCATTTCACGGTTCAATGCAGTTGGCATTGTTAGCAACTGAAATCTGAGATCCTCGTAAGGCTAATGACTTTTTTCGGTAATGCCTAAGATTCATTCATACGCTCCATTGGACAGCGGTCAGACAGCGTAAATTTGTCAGTGCTGGCGGATTCATTGGGTCAAGTTTAAAATGCTAGAAATATTGCCCGAGACTAGATCAAAAAACGGCATTGACCGTCTTACTTGGTTCAAAAGCGCCAGCCATTGACCATAGCATAATAATACATTAAAAATAGAAGAGTATCGATGCCATAAACTAAAGACTGCGATATTTGCAATTTGTTTTTTTTTTTTTTTTTATGCAGGGGGTCGCACTTCTGCTGAAACTGTTGCTTATGCTAATGCCTATAATATTGCTGCTGCTGCGCCGGCGCGACATTGTTTTTTTCGTCTTCTTTATTTCCTGGTTTGTCAGTTTCGTTAGGCATTATAATCGGTAATTTGCTGCGTATCAAGCGCGCTAAGACAAACATTGACCTCAATGTGTGAAAGTATATATGTGTGTGATTAAATACCTAGATATTGAATATTAAAATGATTTTTTAATTGCTTCGCTTTTCAAATAAAAGTGTTTGCATAAATGCCCCTATGCTATAACGGCCAAATGCAAACTAAAACTGGAACTATCGAGTGCCGCAAATTTATGTTAACAGCATTTAGCGCTGCTATCCATAAAATTCTAAACGCACCAAATGCTGTACAGTGGCTTAGCATTAGTCTTTATTTATATGCTAGAAAATTTTATGCTCAGAAAACCGGTTTTTAAACTAAGAGAATAACCACCAACATAGTTGATTTTGATTCTATTCTAGATACAAAAATCTTAACAAGCTTTTCACATTTCTTTTTGTCTTTTTTACATCACTCATTCATGATGTAACGGCCTACACACTAAAGCTGTAACTATCAATTGGCGCAGTAATTTTTATCCCTAGACACTAGCAATGGTAAATATGAAATTCCAAATAAACGGAATGTTGAACAGTAGCTTAGCATTAATATTTATAATTTAGATATAGGAAATTTTATGATTTTCAAACCAGTTTTTAAACTTTAATTTGATAATCACCAACATATTTAATTAAATTGCAGCTGTTCTAGAAAAAATAAATAAATGCTGTAGCTATCAGTGCTTGATTAAATCTCTGGTCAGTGATTAAATGTAATTATACTGCAACGGCCAAATACAAACTGAAGCTGGAGTTATCGATTGTCGTAATTATTTAGCAGATAACAAGCAGTCTCTACAACTGATATACATGAGATTCTAAATTATGCTGTATGCTGTTAAGCGGATTAGTATTAACATTTATATGTTTACATTTTAAAATTGTATGGCTAGAAAAAAAAACTGTTTGAAATTTTGTTTGAGACCAAGAACACTAACATATTTTGAATTTAAACAGTTATTCTATTACGATTCTATTGCTAACATCGATAAGTTATTAACAATCGAAACTAAAGCTGTGCTTGCCAGACCCGTGTAAAATGTAATAAATCTTTACACGCAAGTCGGTCACACTTGCACCCTTATCTCACAAATGTTGCCAAATATAATCAGCTTTGTTTTGTAAACCACTTTTTATATAGTATTTGTAAATTCAATTCAATTTGGTGCGATTATGCTTTCATTTACAATTCGCGTAGAGCAGCCAGTAACAAAGCAATGACTGTGCGGGGCATAGAAGCTATCAAATTATATATGCCGACGTCAAAGGCAGATGCAAGAGCAGCCATAAAAACAAACATACGTGAGGAAACGGGCAGGGCCGTGATAGAACCTACACCTGTTGACAAAGGCCAGGCCATGACCTCTGTGGAACGCTACAGGCAGGAATGGGCGCAATTGCTGTCCAATTTGGACGAGGACCCCGAGTCTTTGCGTTTGGCTGCATTCAAAGGTCAGCTGAAAATGTCAAAGTTTCGCAGCATCCACTGGGCGCTGCTGCTGCGAGTGCTGAGCGCAGATCATCGCAGCTGGCATATCCAGCGCACACAGCAGCGAAGCAGGTTAATTAACTAATACAGTAAACAAAGTAAAAGTGCTTTAATGATGTGAAAACGAATTTGCAGATACGAGAAGTTTCGCGTGGACTATGTGCGCAATCCTCACGAGCTGGCTGGGCCTGTAGACGATGATCCCTTATCGCAGTCGACGAAAAGTGTCTGGAATCAGTATTTTAGCGATCAGGAGCTATTCGCTGTCATTCGCCAGGATGTGGTGCGCACGTTTCCGGGCGTGGATTTCTTTCGCAAATCCCTAATACAAAATGCCATGACAAACATACTCTTCTACTATGCCCGGGAGCATCCGTACATGTGCTACAGGCAGGGCATGCATGAGATATTGGCACCCATCATCTTTGTGGTCTACAGCGATCATCAGTCGCTGTTGCATTACAAAGAGATAGCCAAGACGGACATCAATGAAGCTCTGTTAAATGTGCTGGATGCGGCATATCTGGAGGCGGATACCTAGTAGGTTTCATTGATATATCCATTATATATCTAATTTGATAAAATTCTGTCTTTCTAGTTCTATCTTCTCGCGCCTCATGTCTTCTGTGGAAGCGTATTATCGAGTTACTAGCATAGCGTCGTCCCCTGTTGAGTTGCAGACAGCGAGCGACGTAAGCCATTGCCCTGGATTCATTGCTTTAAACAAGTACAATATACATTTAATTACAGACCCCCGGCGCTGACGCAGAGCCGCAATCAGAGGTGGAGGTTATCAGCCAGTTGAATTTGATACGCGATAAAATATTGGCCAAGCAGGATCAGCATTTGCATCACTATCTGCTCAAAATGGAAATTCCATTGCATATATTTGGCATGTGAGTGAAATTCCCTTAAAATGTAATTTATATAAAAACTTTCCTTTGTTAATTTTCAGTCGCTGGCTGCGTCTGTTGTTCGGACGGGAATTCATGCTGCTGGATTTGCTGCTGCTCTGGGATGCCATCTTTGCAGACAGCGATCGCTTCGATCTGCCCAACTATATATTGGTGGCCATGCTGGTGCACATACGAGATAAGCGTGCGTATATATACATATATATATGTGCAAAGATTCCCCTTTTTGATTTGCTTTGCGATTTGTTTTTGCAGTGCTGCTGAGTGATTATACGACATCCATGACTTACCTCATGCGCTATCCCAGCCATGTCGATGTCAATCTGGTGCTGCGACACGCCTTGCACATGCTGAATCCCAAACAATTCGAGTACCCAGCGAATGCCTTCTCCTGTGTATCATTCACAAACAATTCGCCCGCATCTGAGCCGCAAACATCACAGCAGCGTGTGCGCACTAGCTCCGAGTCTTCAAATGTGGGTACCCAAATTGATCGCCACATCAGCTATATGCAGGCTCGCAATGCTGAGAGTTCCTCTGCATTGGCGAAGCTACAGGATGTCAATAGCGTCGCCATGGATGGCTACCTCGAAGATGTAAACTTAATTCAGTGTCCCACGTGAATACCAATTTTTAACTTTATCCGTCTTCCAGAGTCCTGAGCTGCTGCGCCTGGAGCTGAAGAACGCGCAGACGGTCATCAAAATAGCTCGCAACAAACTGCTTGGCTATTTAAGCACTGTGCGCCAGCACATGGGCAAGCAGAGCAACGAAGATCTCAGTCGTGCTCTCGATGGCATGGAGGAGCTGTGCAGTTTTCTAGATGTGAAATTAATATTTCCGCTGCATGTGGCCACAGCGCCCATTGATGAGGCACTGGAGGCCAATGAGCGCAAGCAATTGAATCGCAAGCGAAGCAATGCCGCTGCCATCACGCCTCCAATTGCTCAAATGGCGCAGGTGCCCGTGGCTAGCAGTAGCTATGAAATGCCGGAGAATGCCTTCATGCACAGTTCGACGCGCCGGTTGCTGGGCGATCGACGGGAGATCGAGCTGTCGACCATCATCAGCGACGAGAGACCCGAACAAATGGTGCTGCAAAATGGTTTACCCGCGGCCGAGCCGCAACAGCCGCAACGGCCGCAATGAAACAATGTTTCAGCCATCGACTGAATATTATTTTACAAATTAAGCTAACAAATTGTGAATCCTTGATAAAAACCTTAATTATTCATTTTTTATTTGTATGAACTGCATCGGAGTAATAACAGGAAAATAAATGGATGCAATGTGCTGAAACCCTTATATATACACACATATATATACATACGTATAACTTTATAATTTTACGCTGTTTTATATACTATATATACATATATTTGTAACTTTCTTTCATTTTTATTGCAACATGAAATGTCAACGCGTATTCATGTGATACTGAAAATTATATTTATAAACTAAAAAAATTATTAAGCATTTTTTTTTATTTTCAGATATTTTGTGATTAGAGCTCGAAATTATTAAGACTTTTTTCTTAGGCATATTAAAAAAAATCGAGTGACAGTGAATAAAAACTTCATACTTCAGTAAAAGTCAAATAATCATAGCAAACCAATTTAAAGGTAAACTTTAATTTAAATACAACTTGAAGATCAGCAAAAAAAAAATGCATGTATATACATATAAAGAATAAGAGAATAATTAGTTTATCTATCCAAATAGATGAGTAGTGTATAATTTGATTCTTATTCAAATTGAATAATTTGCTTAACACTAACGTATTTTCAATTCAAGTATCGTGGAGAATATAAGACTTCAGGTTTCAGGAAAATAATAATATATATATATATGTGATAATCTAAGCATAATAATAACAATGGCATGGGAACACCGTGGCTTGATTCTAATTCAAATTTAACATTTCGGTTAACAGTCAAGACATTTACAGCTATATGTTATATGTCATAGAAATCTTTTAACTTAACACAAAGAGAAATTTGATTTCCTTACAGTTGTTTCGTGAAACAACTGCGAAAAGGCGTTACTTAGCTATTTGTATATATCAACGCGTTTTACATATTGGCTGGATGTGATGGTTTGTTGGATTGCACCACTGTGCGGTTTAAAACATATTGGCGATTTGCCTGATCTTGGATGTGTTGCGGTGTGTTGGTGCCGGCGTTCGAGTAGACAGTAGTCCTCTGCTGTTGGCTGGGCTTCTGCTGCCTCATCTGTTGAGCCTGCCCAGAGCTCTGAACTGGTACAACGATGGTGTTCTTGTTATGAACCCGCCGATAGACGGGCGTACCGCCAGTGCTGCCATTGCTTACGTCCGAGTTGGAACTGGGAGGTGTGTTCATTACAACGACGTTCGGTGGCGCATGATTCGATTGCTTCGATTGGATCCTTAAAGTATTTGGGCCATTTCCGCGCGCACCACCGCAATTGGCATTCTTTGTGGTCAGCCTATTGATGGGCACAACGCGCACTGAATCCTCGGGCTTGGAAGTGGAGTTGTTCAGAAAGCGTCGCACCTTGAACATCACCTCCTGCGTGCGTCCATTGCAAGGATCTGATGATGACACACTGATATTTGCGACAGCTGGCGCCGTATGTTCAACTGTAGACGAGCTCTGATTGGGCTCGGGTGTGTTATTGTTGCTGGACAACGCCTGCCTTAACGGTGCCGGCGGTTCATCCGGCAGATCCTCTAGAGTAATAAATGGAGACGCAGATTCTGGTGATTCGGGAACTCGTTGCAGCGTTTGGTTATCTTCCTCGAAATTTAAGCGTACCGGGTCACTGTCTCTAGGTGTGACCTCTGCTGCCTTGTCCCTCGACTGAGCAGAATCAGCTGCTAGCACTGAGGTGTTACGTTGGATGCCGCGCAACTCCAGGTCGCATACAATTTGCATGATTTTGGCTTTGCCTTCAGCAGCTAGATCCCCGGGCAGACTTTTCATGGTCTGTGTGATGCTCTCGAAGAACAGCTCCATGGTGTCCCGGGGCTGTGTAACGGACACGTTAGCCAATGAGCAATTGTGGGATGATGTATTGGCTGGCGAATCCTTTTCACGCTCGAGAGTACGCAGACGCGATACAATGTCAAAGGAGGAGCATATCATGTCCTTGGCCATATCCAACTGGCTGCGTTCATCACTTCGCTTGCCCGCTGAATCGCGCAATGCGCGCAATATGCGGCGAATCTCCATCGAGCGACGCATCCGTTTTGCTGGCGGCTGCTCACCAGTGCTGCATTCAGACCTAGAGAGAAGCGGACTAGAAATGAGTTAATTGAGTTGCATTTAGTGAGACCGTGTCATTTGCTTACTTAACGCTCAACTCCTCTTCGCTCTCCTGGTCCACATCCATTATAGACGCGGCTGGATCAGCTTCGGTAGTCGTTATCGTGGTAATCTCGCTAGTATTTCTAAGTCGCTCCAACTGCTCCAGATGCTTGCGTGATCCATCGTGCTGCCGCAAAAAGAATATCTTAATGGGCAGCCGAGTCTCGCAGAGCTTGCAATGGCAATAATTCTCATCGTTGACATCTGGCTCCAGCCAATCGTATTTCGCCTGCAGCTCGGCCATAGCCGCTTTATGCTTAGCTTCGCCCGTGGTTAGCGCTGAAGAGGCTGGTGAAGGCGTTGCCTCAGCAGCTGTAGGCGGCATTCGAGCAGATCGTTTGCGCTCGAAACGCAAGCGAACGTGTCGAGAGCTGCGCTGGTGCTTGGAGGCGTACTTAAAGCTGGGCAGGAAGACAGACACTTCGCAGAGCTTGCACCAGCCGTAATTGTGGCGAGCCTCGCTGCGTTTGTACGAAAGCCAGGGAAAGCGATCCTTCCACACCATTACCTTGCCCTGCATGGTGGCCGGTACGGCCTTGAATACTGGCTTCGGTAATGCTTTGGGGGTTGACACTGAATGCGAGTTATCGTCATCAACAGTTACATCTACGGACTCGGCATTGCTCTGATCGCCATCATCGTTTTCCTCCTCGAGTTTGCGCTGTATTCGCGCTTCCTTACGGCGTGCTGCTTGGCGCGCTTTGAACTGGGCCGCAAGCTTCTTGTGGCGTGCGCTCTGTTCGTGACGCCCCTTGTTCGACTCGCTGTGGAAGCGCACGCGACAGAATTTACATATTTGGATTTTGCGGTCCTTCGAGCAGCGTAGCCACGAAAACTGTCGCACCACGTGCTTGGCTTTCTTCGCGGTGTTTTCCTCCCCTCTGTGAGAAAAGTTTCAAAATTATTTATAACAATCGGGAGAAGAAATTTCTTTGCTTACTCTGGGGAGCTTCTTTGCGAGGTGGATAGCTTGTCGTCTTCCTGGATATAATCATCGTCACTGCCTTCTGTCTGCGCGTCGGACTGCCCCTGCTCCTCCTCCTCTTCCTCATCCTCCTGCTCGTCACCATTGAGCGCGACAGTTGCCGCCATTGCAGCTTGATGTTTCTCAGAGTTCTCATGGTTTTTACGCTTGATTTCGGAATGCCCGTAAATGAAGCGTCGGCTGCAGATATGACAGAAGGCTATTGAAGGATCATTGGGATCGGCCACTATCCAAGGATGTTGCTCTGCATACTGTGCCCAAATGCCGCGATTGAGCTTCGATCTAGAAGCAAATTAACAGAGGTTATATTTAATAGGCAACATGAATGCAATTAATTATACGCACAATTGTTTCTGCTTGAATGCGATTAAATTACTGCAATGCACTTTGGTCTTCAGGTGGCGCATGAAGCTGGTTATGGCCATGCGGCAATCGCAGAGCGTGCAACGGCATTGCTGCGGACTTGTGTCGGGCAAAAGCTCACACCAGTCACTGGGATCCGTGGACTCTCCGCAAGAGTCAACGACAGTCATCACAAGCGTATCTTCAGCAGTAGCTTTGCCACTATCTTGCAGGTCCTGCGTTTGATTGTCCGCGCTGTCCGATTGGCTGCCGCTGGGTTTGCGTTTGCGCTTCTCCATTGATCGCTGGGCCTCGCAATGTCCTTTGCTGCTCTCGTGCCGCTTGCGCAAGTAGACAAACTCCACGTTCATGCGCACATTGCAGCACTTGCACAGACCAACTGTTCCCTCCTTCTGAGTGCGCTCCAGCCAATCGTGACAGCTTAGCCAACGCTGCCAATTGAAATCGTTTAGCTTCTCCACTTCGTTGGCGCGCTTTATTTTCATAGCGGCCACATAGTTATCTGTGCCGAACTCATGCTTGATCTCCCGCTCATTCAGTCTGGGAAGTAGTATTATTTAGTTACGGATTAGAGCAATAGTTATTAATAGTTTTATACCCGCTTTGCCTATACTCTTCGCTGTTCTTAAAGACCAAATAGTTGGCCTCACGCTCCTGATGATAGAGCGACAGATTGTGTTGCTGAATGTATTTCATCTTTTTGTTTATATTGATGATCACATTGCAGTACAAGCAAAAGGCAAAGTCGCCGTCGCTCTCCTCGTGCAGCAGCCAAGGCCAGCGTTTCATCCAGATTTGCCAGCGTTCACTGCGACTGATGCCACGCGAGCCGCTGCTGCTTGCCTCGTCGGCGCTGGCCTCCTCCTCCTCATCATCATCATAGTCCACCTCTTTGCTGGAATCGATGCGTTCCAGCAAACCCATCGGATCGGGTCCATTATATGAAGCGGCACTTTCGCCATCGCTGCTGGGCTCCGTTTTGGTTGAGGTTTTGTCATCCAACTGGGGATCCTCGCCGGCATTGCCAACATTTGCCGTTTGTCTTTCACCAACCAATCCGACTTCATCTCCATCTTCGTCATCTAACTCAATTACTACTGTTTCTGCTGTGGCGCCTTCCACTTCCATTATTTTTAACTCGTGTTCGGCGGTAGTTGATTTCTTTGACGACGACGACGACGCCATTTTGTAGGTATTACCGGCATCGTTTGCATTTGGTAGGGAATTTCCAGCAATTTCCGCGATAGGCGATTCCATTTCAATCTGGACAGAGCAAACTCCGTTTATCCAGACTGTAATTGAATTGTTTTCTAGACCATTTGTTTAAATTACAATAGAATAACTTTAAAGTAAGGTTGGCTCTTAAAATTCGCAATGCAGTCCAGTTCGCGTTCGCTTGAAGTTATCGATTACAAAACATTACGCTCTTGCACTCTTGCAAAAACTTCTCAACGATTGGCGGGGATATATCGATATGTCAGTGTTGCAAAATTCAAAATATTAAAATTCGAAATTTATTTATTAATTATTAAATGAAGTTAATAAAACGAATATGTATTATGTCCATTATATTCTGAAATTAATCACTAGTCAAGCGTAATATATATTTTTGAGCTACCCCTTTGCATCTACAAATATATCGCAACTCCTATTGATATAAATAGTCATAGTAGGGTCACACTGTTGCAGCATTTGTTATTGTTAATTTTGTTGCTGTATTTTGTATTGCATTTAGCTGTGATTAAAGCAAAATGACGATATTTAATTTGTATATATTCGACAAAATGGGCACTCTGATGCACTACGCCGAGTGGAACCGTACCAAAAAATCAGGCATAACCCGAGAAGAGGTACACATTCATTCACGTCAATGGCAAAGACAATGCCAATTTGTTGTATACAATATTAAAAATAAAATAAATTTCAGGAAGCGAAACTAACGTACGGCATGCTCTTCTCCATCAAGTCCTTTGTCAGCAAAATATCCCCCCACGACCCACGAGAAGGGTTTCTTTACTACAAAACAAATCGCTACGCGTTGCACTATTTGGAGACGCCCTCGGGATTGAAGTTAGTAAAGCAACAGCTGATCTAAAGATCTAAATTAAAATTAAGCTTCTTTTGTATTTGCTTAGATTCGTGCTAAACACAGACACCGCAGCCATCAATGTGAAGGAGCTTCTGCAACAGCTGTACGCCAAAGTCTGGGTGGAGTATGTGGTGCGTGATCCACTGTGGACGCCCGGCACAGTGGTTACATCGGAGCTGTTTCAAAGCAAACTCGACGAATTTGTCAAGCAGTCGCCCATTTTCGGCATTAGAAATATTTAGAAATTTAAGCCCACTGTATAGCTAATAGATATGTACGTATAAATGTAAATAAAACATCAAATAGTATGTGACAAGCGCATTGCGTCCCCAAATTGTAGTTGTTAACAGCTACCGTGGCCCCCAATTATGTTCGCACAGCAGGAAACTGCGAATTGTCGCGGCATCATTTGAAAAGAAGCCGCCCGACACTTGCGCAAGGGAAATACTACAACTGAACTGTTACTCGCAAGCATCCAAATTTATGATTTGCAATTGCATATTATCTTTTGTTTTGCGTTTTTTTTTTGTCCGCGCAAATTCGTTAGCGTTTCGCATGTGAAGACAGTTATTGTTGCAGCTATTAAATCTGTGACTAACTCGCCCCCATCGCCAGTTGCTCTGCCTCGCATCCAAGGGATTTGCGCAATGGAAAATGATTTGCAAAATGTTGTGAGCTGCCCATACACACACATACATACATATGTATGTATGTATATACTTAAGCACACTCATGTACTTGGGTGGAAAGATCCAAAGCTAAGAGCAATGAAGAGTATGGCAAATGCCAGACGCAAGGGTGACAGAGCGAGATGCGAACATTTAACTTCGAATCTGCTGAACGATTGCCTTTTCGCAAAACCAGTCGCTGCAGTACCGTTAGCAACCTTTTGGGCTTGCTAATACATGCATACATACATACAAATATGCTTATATATGTATATATGTACATAAGTATACTTTTCGGTGCGTGTAGTTTGACTATGTCACCAAATACATATGCTAAGCCCCAAGTTTATACATACATAACATGTCATCATTTATTATTTTATATGTAGATATGCATATGTATGTATGTATGTGCATATTGTTTTTGTTATCCAATTTACATATGAATTGGAACATGTTTGTTTGAGCTAGTTCATTTATGGAAGCCGTTTTATGTGCTTCAGTTGCCTGCAGAGCATTTCAACTTCGTCAGACCAAAAACAAAATTTTCAAATATTTATGTTTCATGTATTTTGTTTTTGCCTGTTTTTACGATGTCTCACTTATTTAAACATTCATGCAAGTCATTTGCAGTTTTTGGTCTATATTTATTTGTATGTCTTTTTCTTTCTGTCACACTGATGCTTGGGTTAAATTCGAAACCGGGTTTCAACAGGGCATTGCAAAAGCAAAATCAAAATCAAAAGCAAAAGTTGCAAACACAATGGAAATCGAAATGTAAAGCGAGTTTTTAGGCCTCAGTTATTGAGTGGGCTAGTGCTATATTGTAGATAGTAATAGAAAATGGTGTATGTAGGTGTATGCATACATACATACATATATGTAGGAAAACCAGCATTTAATAAATCAACCGAACTGTCACATTACGGCGCCAACATCTTACAAAATGCCCTTTCCAAATCCAATTATTGCACACATATACATACATACATATGTATGAATGTATTTATGCATGTGTAAATGTCTGTATGTCTGTATGCACATGTATATATTTATATAAGTATTCAGATTTGTGTTTATCAATAGCAAATACCGGTTGGCGTCTGTTTGCCTTCGGCTTTCTTTCAATTTGCTAGTTGGTGGTTTTGTTTTCGTTTATCGATGACACGATCACGATTACCATCGATTCAGTCAGCCCAATTAAACGCCGCTCGTATCCCTACAACTTTGTTTGTGTGTGTGTGTTTGTGTTACGCTCTTGCTTGTTTCTTTTGCTCACAACTTTCTGCATTTCAGTTTTTCCAAATTTGTTTTTTTTTTTTTTTTGGGTCTGCAAATGTTACGCAAATTACGAAAGCTCATTCAGTGGGTTTTATTAGATGTCAACCGAAAAGTTTACAAGGTTATGAACGCATTGGTGGGCCGCATCCAATTGGAAAATGAAAACCAGTCAATTTGTAAGTGTGTCACATGAGAAGTTGGTGTGCTCTAGTTGGAGATTTGTAGCTTGAGTGGGAGGGACTGTGTTGGGTGTGGAGAGTTAATGGAATGGATTATGAAATATCTATAATAGTTACATATTTTAATAAATAATACTCTTTATGTTTCTTTTTATTACAATGATATTCATGATATTATTATATGATTTTATTATGATCTATTGACTCTTAAAAAAACAAAATTGTATGTATTTATTTCACTTTCGGAGCTTGAAGAACATAAATGTAGGTGGAAAAAACGCAGTTTTATATATCAAAATTATTGAAACGTATTGATTATAATAAAAATTCACCAATACATAGAGTTATTAATATAACTATATCGGTTGCGTGAATAGCTCTATATTTACAGAGTTGCTAAAGCAGAACTGTTGCAACTCTGATTTCATTGAAAGCACTTTAAATGCATACACTCTAAAGAAATAGCATACAACCCAAAAAGTTCATTATAGTGCTTTAAATGACAGTTTCCACAGCTTAATGGTCAGGCTATAATATTGTGGGGCCATTGTTTGGTGTGTGGGAACCGGGAACCTACCGGCTGGGGTAAATAATTGTGAAACCTTTGATAGGCAATTGTCGTACAGCTTTTCGCTTTAGCACAATTAAATGTGAAAAAGGGGGAAGAGGAAGCTTTAATATTTTGTTGCTAACTAAGCCTAACGAAGCACTTGAGCCCACGCTCAATTGTGAAAGGGCCTTGGGCTCATCTTATTTGTTAACCAGAAATCTTCGAAACTGCGAAGTTGTTGACCAACTGGCAAAAGATCGATGCTAATGAGGTTAGCTAAAATACTATGCAAATGAGTCTTGTGCCTAAAATAAGAACGGGGAACGAACAACACAGGTGCGATGAAATTTTGGGTATAGTGTATTAAAAAAAAGATTCTGGCTGAGTAGATAAGACCGACTTCGATTTATCCCACTTTTATTCAATGATGCATATTTACTAAGCTTTAGTCTAACCATTTATTATATAGGATTTATAAAGTTTCGTTTTCTTCATGAACTTTATACATTGAACAACTTTTTAAATGATTCAAATAAAATATATTTTATTCATAAAGTCATTTTATGCATTATTCTTAGGGCTTTCTAAAAATCCACAAATAGCTCATCGAATTTCGGCTTGGCAACCGCTTTATTTCTTCTAGATAGAATGCTGCCTGTTTGACCATATACAGAAATTACGACTTAGTTAAGCCATGAAAAAGAGCAAAAAATATTTAGATAAACTATTTACAATATTTTTAGTTTATGCATTACGTTATATATATACCATATGACTAATACAAATATTTAAGAAAATAAATAATAATAATTACCCTAATGAGCAAAAATTGTGTTGTTAATATTGAATAATTGAGAATTTTTTAAGAGGCGTTGGAACTGAACAGCTGTGTACTTTGTTTAAATCTGAGATGTATTGTTTAAGTAATTTATAGATGATTAGCTATAGTACTTAAATAATTTCTGTCCTAAGGGTTGCCAAGATTGAATTGCTATTAGATGTTATTATTAGATATTAATGAACGAAAATTGAATTTTAGCTTCACTCGTTTTTTTCTCTCAATGGGAACATATTTACAGTTTAGCACGAATATCAAGAAGTCTGTTGTTTATATGACCGGTACTTTCTTTAAATAATAATCCGTAAATGCTACTCCGAATATCAATGTGATAAAGCATAGAACGCTGTTTACAAGTAAAATTAACATTATTTTTAAATACTTGTATTTCCTATATTTAACTAAAATTTTAAATGCAAAAATTGAAGATTGTCTACGCTGCTTTGACCTAGGTTAACTATGTGAGATAATCATTCGCTTCACCCCATTATAAAATTTACTTTGCATACAAGATGAGTAAAAGCAAAACTTCGTTAAAGATTTAAATTTCAATCTAATTAGGAGACGAACGAATGCAGATGTACATATATATATATATATATATATATATATATA